AACAGCTAAAGAACAGGGGTGGACTTGGGAGGAAGGCCACAAGTGGACAATGAATGGCCCCTCCCAGAGGAAATAAAAGAGGAGTGAAAGGGGAATGGGGTTTGCAGGAGACAATTAGTTCGCTAATTGGTTCCTGGCACTCCGAGACTCCTTGCCAAGTTTTGCAGATATCGGCCTGGCAGCTCTCCAAGCCAGATAAGGTCTCTGACTGTAAATCCTCCCTCGAAAGACTTCGCTGGATGTGAATGAGCAGAATTCACTGTAAATTAATAAAAGGGTTTTTTGCCGCGACAAGGAGTTTGCTTCATGCTCTTGGGAAGCCTCGGTCAGAACACCCAGGTTGTGGGTCCCTCTTCTAACATTTGGGTGATAGAAAACAGAGGTACCACTGGGCCTACCACTGATGACTTTGAATCTCTTGCATTGCACTGGTTTTGTGAACCCTTTTGAATTATCTTTGTTTTATGATGGGGAAAGAAGAGAATACACAACCTCAACCTATCCACACAACCCATTAGGGGAGCCCATTCTTACTCAACGCAACCCACTTACCAGGTGGAGGTTCCTAGGGTTACCTCCCAATAATGGCATCCACTGTCAATGAACACATTCCCTGTGACCCCATAGCAGCCTGTTCCACTGAACCTCTCGGGGGTGTGACTCTTTTTCAAGGAGCTTTCGTCTTTCTCCATCTGAAGTCCATCATTGGAGATCTTCAACTTCTTATGAGCCATTTTAGGGTCCAACTTGAACGGCTGGCCTACAGGAAAAGAAAGCCAAGATTGAAAATCAACCCAATTCAAATCATTTATTTCCCCAAAAAATAGTTTCCCAGCTTCCTGTGCAATGATTTGTCATTCTTTTTCAATTCTGTAAAGGAGCCTGACTCCTTAACAATAACAGTAATAATTAAACCATCTGAAAACATACAAAAATAGAAGTGACATAAATAAACACTGTGAATCGGGCTCTCACCAACGAAGTCCAGCTGGCCAAAATCCATGTTAACTATTTTGCTGCAGGCAAGAGGGTTTAAATGAGCTGCAGAGGGCAGGAAGTTTCCAAATACTTTCTATCATGAAGAATATATTCATTTTTGATGATTATGGTGTTTTGGGAATGCTAAATATTTAATAAATATTTTTATTTAAATAACCCCAAGGAATCAAAATCTGCCTTTGCATTTTTCCAAATTTTTGTTCTTCTGCAAAATAGGTTTCTGATTTTCTACCTTGTTTCTCAGGATGCTTTAGAATTCCTTCAGGAGAAATAGAAATATATTTCAATATAAATCTCTCTCTATATAAAAGCCAAATACCACTCACTCATCACGAAATCTCCAGAACTATAAAGCCTACAAACCTGAAATTTGGCACGTATGTTCCTCTTGGCATCTAGGTGCTCGCTAAGAAAGGATTTGTTGAAATGACCATCAGATCATTAGTATTTCTTATACAGTAATTAACATACTCTGATGCTAAGGAGTTCTACTTCCCCTCCCCATCCGAAAAGAACTCTGTTCCAACTGCCAGTTGCTTCACATTCCGTTACCTCAGTTCAAACTGGCAGACGTTCCACTCCTTCACTCAGGAATGGCCTGGGGCTCCTTACAGTACTAAATGTCGGTACCTCACCAAAATGTCTACACCTTCTACCTATGGAACTGCTTCCAGACTCAATGCGGCAGGAGCGATATTACTTTATGTGTTTCAATCACAGACCACCACTGAGGCAACAGATTGAACCGGAGTGAAGTGAATTTCTCCTGCATTGCCTGATCACATAGTTTCATCACGAAGCATACAGGCATCCAGCTAGTACTTTATATACAATATAAATACTTTATATTGTTTTAATGTGAAATGGATCTGCAATGGTTTTTGTGTATTAATTACAGCTACTAATATAGTATTTTGCTGTTTGATACCTCCCAATTTTTATCATTGTTCTCCTCTGATTCTGACGGGGAATATCGGTAGCCAGTGGTGGGATTCAACCAGTTTGCACCACTTTGGGAGAACCGGTTGTTAACTTTCTGAGCAGTTTGGTGAACTGATCATTGAAAGAAATCATTAGGGCAGAGAACCAGTTGTTAAATTATTTGAATCCCACCACTGCAACGTGCAATTAAAAGGAACTTAACTGGGCAAGCAACCCTTTGAGATTTCTGCAGAAACAGTTCCACTGGAAAATGGGTTTAATTTCCAAATTAACTATTATGCCTTGTACTCTAGATCTGCTCGAAGACAACCCAGGTGACGTTTTGAAGAGGCAGAAATGGAAGGATAAGATCTTGCGAAGCAGGAAAGACAATCACAAAATCTAATTCTGTGCAGCCTTTATTCTCTCTTCGTATTAAATGTGCATTTTTCAGGCATACTGTAGAGGAAAGCTAACTCCACTTAAGTGCTGGTATAATAATCTGGTAGAGGTGCAGAAAATATCCGTATATTGTTTAGAGTCTTTCTCCCCACAGCCAACACAAGTCTTTCCACACAGGAAAAACACTGTTATTACATTTTGTAGGGAAACATGCCTTCTTGGCTCCCCAATCTTTTTTCCCACCATTGCTGGATGGTTGGATTTGAGGGCTTTCTCCCTTCATGGATGGGGCTCTGGCTGCAGACCCCAATCAAAAGCTGAAAATCCGTTTTGTTCCATGGCTGACGATGAAACGGCGATGAAATGCTACCTTCGTTCAACAAAGCGCACGATTCCCAAGACTGGGAAAACTTGAGGTTGCCTGGGGAGATCCTCTCCTGCTCCTCTAAGCCATCCATCATCCTCTGATGCTGCTTAACTGCATCAACAGCCCGAGCTCTATTGAATCATCAAAGTCCAGATAGAGCTATAATCTGTGCAAGGAATTCTTAGATGTGCTGCTAGGTTTTCTCAACGGTACAAGAATCTTTGCATCGTTGTTGATAGAAGGAAGTACAGAGAACTGAAATCCACTGTCAATCAACTTCTCCTGGACATCAAGAGAGTTGCTATCTGGTTAAACATGATAATGGAAAGATAACTAAATAAAAGTTAAAATAGATGGGATATGGATAAATATGAAACTGATATGGGGAGCTTGTAAAGCAGAGGTTCGTGATTTACCTTTTTAACATGATAATTAAATTGAGTTGTGAATATGACAATAGGACAACTAAGCACGGGTCAAAATCTATGTAACATGGACATATATAGAACCTTTAAGATGATGAAGTGAGAGGTTTACTGCTTGTTACTTTATATAATACATTAAGGGAAGTGTCATGAACACTGAATAGTGAAGATTGCCATCTAGAGATAATTAAGGGTAATCTAATTCAAGATATAGAAAAATGGAGAGGGAATATGAAATATACCTACAAGGGGACGCTATTGTGATAAAAAGACAGAATCACAAATTGGGAGCATGTAAGGATTTATAACTATATAAAGATAATGATGAGAATAGCTGGGAATTGTAACCAGGTCTACAGCTCGACCAAAAATAGGTTTTTTTTTGGGGGGGGAGGGGGGTGTTAAAAGCACAATGATTATATATGTATACTTTTCCATTATATCACTTTTAAAAAAATTAATAATAGCAATAGCAATAGCAGTTAGACTTATATACCGCTTCATAGGGCTTTCAGCCCTCTCTAAGCGGTT